TCAGTGTACCAGAAGAGAGCTTGTTTTACAAATGGTGTCCCTTCTGAGCCATGGATGCTGCCCCAGAGCTCTACAGGCCCGGCGTTGCCTGCCATGACTGTGAAATGCGTTTCCCAGTGTGTGGTGCAGCCTCCAGCAACCATGGAACGTGATCTTTGCCTTAAGTATTCGATCCGTGGTGCTGCTCCCAGTTGATGCTAGCAATCAGCTTGCCATTGTGAGAGGAACCACGTTCGGTTTAGGTTGCAGACTGGCTTGACTGAAGCAGAGGTTGGGTCAGACATTTTATTTAGAGTGCTGGTAAACTGCCCGTCCTCCATTTTCATTCGGGGGGGCACCTAGTTTTTAGGATAGGCTGGGAGGTCGTATGCTAGATAATTCAGTTTCAATTCAGAGCCGTCCGATGGTCCCCCGGGCACTTTGGACCGGAAGATAGCCCTAAAAAAGCAGAGCTCAACCCTACCAATATGGAACTTTTGTCATGACTTATGCCTTCAATACCATTTCCGAGATTTGGGTAATATGAGAGATAAAATCTGTGAGGCTGGGTTGAGTGGCACTAATCGTGGCTCAGTGCGCCGCGGCTGGCGGGCCCCAAGTGGGCCGACGGGCGGCCGGCGGCCGCGCCGGACTCGGCCCGACGTGACTCGACATACTGAGGAGTCGTCATGCGGCGGCAGCGCGCTCGGATCGACGCTCAGCGCTATATAGCGGTTCGGACCCTAGGAAATCCAACTCACGAGAGGCTATCGAACAGCAAGTCTGAAGTCTCAGCTATGTAACGCTTCGGAGGCCCGGATATTGGCCACTGCAGCCTCGGCGCAGCCTATTTTACTAGTAGAACAGTAGTACAGCCTCCCGCGCGAGGCCCGGTCGATTTAAGTCGGAGTCGCCGGCGAATTTGGGGCTACGGCCCCCTACGGGCCTCGTGCGCGGCTTTTAGCCTCGGAGTTCAGTGAGTGTAATTCAGTGTTCAGTGGAAACAAGGCCTTTCGGCAAGTCGGAAATCACCGAGTTCCGTGAAGAATCTTAAATTTCGAAAAGTACCTACCGGATGCAGTCCCGCGGTCACTCGGCCGCACAAAAATTTGGTATTCCCGATCACTTCCATATTTCAGCCGGGCAGTACGACAATACCCGAGTACAGTGACGCGCACTTTTTGCACCTGAGTCCTAAGGCAAAGCTTAATGAGTTTCGTTCGACGGGTCCAATTTTGCGATGTAATGGTTTAAATTGAAATCCGGCCGTGCGATGAACGATTTGACGGCGCACGATGACGGAAAAGTCTATCGAACCATTTGCCCGGGACCGGTTGTGTCGCCGGATCGACGTACCGGTATGGTACGCTCGGATCGACGGCAGTTGCGGGGGAAACTGCAAACCCTGAGGAACCAGACGCCCCTTTTGCGCGCGCACTGCTAGCGCCCAGGTTGCAAATTTAAGGTACAAAAATGAGAAAGCTGCCCTTCTTTTGTCAGTTCCTCGAGAAAAGTTCCTCAGGAACTTCCTGCATGAGAGAGAGAGCTTGGGGCCGGGCTGCGCTTGCAAGGGGAACACGCCACGATGTGCTAAGTTGCCAATCGCATGAGATCGTCGAATACTTGTTGCGCACGCAATGCGTGTCTTCTTCCATCCCCGGACGAGCACTTGATCAGTGGGCGCTGCTGTAAGTGCCACAATGGAGGAATACCCGGAGGAGTTCCGCACGCCTCCGCTGCCGCTCGTGGCCTTCATAGGGCTTCCCGAGTTCCATCTGCAGGTAAGCAGCTTGTCAGCGGCTGTACGGTTAGAGGTTGGCTTCCCTTTCCAGGGTTTGTAGGAGCGAAGGAATTGATGCCGGGCTGACACGTCTTACGAAGCCATTAAGGCTAAGAGACATACATAATCAAAGAGTTTCTCTCAGAATGGAATTTGGAACAAGTGACCATCCAATTGGAGAGTTGATTAGAAGCGTTGGATAAGTACCGCACTCGGTAGCTGATATTTCCCCGTTAAAGGGCATCTTAAGATCTATATCCCAGCTACACAGGGCCAGTGGAGTTCTTTTGAATGGGTTTCTTAAGCAATCTAGTTGTGGCCGTGATCCTTATTCCTACTCAGGCTTGTTCCTAATTTCTTTAGGAACATAAGCCTTGGCGTTAATTCATGCCTGGCAAAACCTCCCTGCCCCTGGACACCATTAGCCCCATCAGCCCTGCTAAAGCGAGGCAGTGGTACTCCTTGTTTCATACATTGAACCATTTTCTCGGAACCCACATCAAGTTCCTTGTTTCGTCCCCCTATTCGCAAAGCATTCTTTGTGCATGATATGTAGAAGCCCTATAGCTCAGCTTGATAAAGAGCTACAGGCTCAAGTAATGTGTGTTCTATCTATTCAAGAATCCCAAAACATGTATCCTCACTTTCAAAAGTCACAAAAGCTTCGCGCTACCATTTGGCTGTCAATGTCAACACATGACCCACATGTTGTTTTTGTGGGGCTCAGAGACATGCAACCTAACACTTCCACGATGCAGTCATCGCCAAAATGCACATTAATCAGGCCTTCTGACGAGGACTATCCTCCAATCAGACATTGACAAGTCTGTGAAAGTGACCAGGAACTGGAGAATTCTCATGAAGTCCAAGCAGTTTCCAAGAGTCCCCATCAGATTCCAATGGTCTCCATCAGTTTCAAAAAGTCCCTTTCCCAATTCCTTGGCTTACTTATAACTTCAAAGTGTGTCATGGTGGCCGACAAATTTGGTTCAAGGGGCAGGCCTACTGAAAGGGTTTAAAGTGGCCGTCGTGCTTTAACGGGACTGCCGGTATTGGGCTACGGCGTCAACATCCAGACGTTCACGATATTGAATGCAAGCTCGTGCCGTGCACTCATCTTCATAACACATGCATGTCTTACGCCCATTCTAACGTCTGTTATTATGGTCCCCTCAGGTGACCCACTATTTGCGAGCGGAGCAACCCCCATTGGCGACTGTATCCATCCCCGATGCAATTGGAGCGGCAAGTCTGGCTGGGAAGGAGCGGCGGCCGCCGGATGCGAAGCTGCCATCCCCTCTGGGAGTCCTGAAGGTGGGTGTCTGGGATGGTATCAGGGTGGGGAACCAAGAGAAAGCCGTCGGATCTTGAAGTGTTCAGTCTCAGAATGAGGAGTCTCGAGTTCAGAGTCTGAGCAGAAGGAAGTCTGGTTTTGCCATGAGAAGAAGTCGGAGGCAATGCGCAAGGGGTGAACGTCGAAGTTTCATAAAGGAAACAAGATGCTCGAAACAAATCAGGTAGAACCTTCCGACAGGGGCAAAACAGTTTCAGAGCACCGGAGCTGCGCGGGGGATTTCTTTCACCAACGACGAGAGAGCTCTTGTTGATCTTGAAGAAACGCTCAACTTTACCTTAACGGACCCACTATTCACCATGCTCCTCAGCTTGTGCTTCTTGCTGTCGAATCGTTTCTTGCTCTGGGGTGGCAGAAAGCACGACTTTTTTGCAAGCGCTGTTTCGAAAACCTTCCGTGAAACTGCTAGCCTTCGTAAACCCCACGAGATGGCCCTTGCAGGCTGGCTGGCTGGCTAAGCATCGCCAAAAAGCGGCGAGCGTGGCAGTGGCGTTCTTTCCGCGCGAGAAAATCTTCGGCGACCCCAACCAGTGGCTGTCCGTCTGCACCCAGATTGATGCAATCAAGTGAGAGCCGGACTTCGCACGGTCAAGCCTTTTCGGATTGGGGAAAATGAACGAATGCAGCTAGTGAAAACGGCAGCGGCTTTCCTGACTTCGGATACAGTTGATTGCCGTCAGTGTTCGTGCAACTCCCGGTCTGGTATTGACATTTGTATCCAGGTATTAGCTAATAGCGTCGTTTGTTTCACTCGAAACCTGGAAGGGCTTGCCCTCGGTGTACTGTCTTTTTGGAACTACCTTACCGGTCTGATCGGCAGAGAGTTTTCCACCTTTGGCTTCTTTCAATCGGCTGCGTTGTTGCAATTCAAACTGTGTTGTGGTTTCAAATCTCTCCAAAAGAAACGAAACCGGCAGTTTAGGTGCATCAGTGTGACCAGATTGGTTTCACTCCGTCCAGGGCTGCGATCCGGGGGCGCAACATCAAAGTGGTGGTTGCTATCGCCCAAGCAAATGCAGCACGTGAGTCCATAGCGCCTTGGTTGTTTCATTCTTAAGCCTTCCTCTTATGGTCACAGTCTTCCCTAAATACTCCTGCTTTGGAAGTCCATGTGCTGCGAATCAAACACTCAAATTCGTCAGTTTTGGCTTCGCTGCAGTCTGTCAGTCTAGGTTCCGCGTTTCAGACTCGTCTCTGCCTTTGCTCAGCTTTTTGCCAAGTGGATGCGCTGAAACTCCGCACAATCGGAATTCAGAACTGGGTTCCTGTCTGGATTCTTCAAGACACTGCTTGCTTCCCCAACCCCATGTCTGGAACGGTCCCAGCTGCTATATTGCACGTATTGAATCTTGGCGATTGCCCATCCTTCATCCAGTGATACTTATGCCAGTACCGGAATCTTGAAACGGCTCTACGTGCCAGCGAGGAACGTTACCTTAACTATCTTCAGTACCCAACCTGGATACAGTCTATCTCTCCAAGTTGACAGGAAGTCCATCTATCGAAGACACAAATAGTGCAAGACTACCTGGTTGTGCTTTCTGTGATCATGCACATCGTTCCTAAACGTTGCTTAATCCGGCGCAGCCCTTGATGCGAGCGAAAAACTCGTCCTGGTTCTCTTGAATGCTTTCCAGTTGCAAACCGGAGAATAATCCGCTTCTCACGGTTGACAGGAGGTCCACCTTATTATCGAGCAACGGTGTGAAACCTCCTGGTTGCGCTTCTCTCGATTGTTCGCATCCATTCATAACGTTGGTTCGATTCCGGCGCAGCCCTCGACGCAAGCGAGGAGCGGCTGCAGGCGCTGCGCAAGCGCGTGGAGACGGAGGCCCGCTGCTGCGTCCCCTTCGTCACGGGCGACGTCGCGCAGCTGCGCACGTCCCTCGCAAAGTGAGCCTTAGCGGCGCATGCTTCTCGAAACGAGGATCACGAACGGTGGTTCGCATGCTTAGATTTGGACACGTGGCAGGACGGCTCTTGAAACGCCTTGCAGTCTTTCTGGTGACTTGGTTTTCTGAGCAGGCGATGCATTCGAGGCGGTTCGTGGTATTTGAGTTGCCGCGGAGACTTGTTGAGAGCGAGCGGGCTTAAAGAGTGCCACGTGTCGCTCTCTTGTGCAGCCTGGCGAAGCTGGTCGGCGAGCTCGCCGCCACGTTCTACCGGGAGGAAGGGCGCCGCATCAAGACGCGCGTCGAGAAGAAGGCCTACAGCTCGCCCGAGTTCTCGGTCCGGTACAACTTCAAGGTACGAACCGTTGTCCTCCTGCTGGCTGGAGCGAGGGGATTGCTTGTTTGTTGTTTTTGCTTCACAACATGGTTGCACTTCGTCGGACTGCAAAGAGGGAAGGTCACTCCCCATACTCGACCGCCCTGGAGAAAACCGTGAAGGAAAGCGGAGGCGGCAACGTTCGGATTTGAGAACGAGCTTGTTTTCCACGAGGCGTTCCTTGGAGGGTCCTCGCTATTTGAGCACACCTCGCCTTTCCAAAAAGGCGGACGCCACTTATTTCCGTCACGGGTCGTTCGAAACGAAGTTCAGAAAAGTATGAGGACTCCCAAACTCACCAGGCCTTACGTACGTGCAACATCAGCTTGTCCTCCACGCTCTCAGATTGCGCTTATTCAATGCACGCTTCAAGTCTGCGTCCGTTTCCTTCCGCGCAGATTGCTGTGTATGCGGAGTTCCGTCGTGACTGGGTGGCGGCCGTCAAGTACTACAATGCCGCGTATACTCTGCTGCACGAAGTGCCCACACCACCTCAGGTGAGAACAGCTAATGCATTCTCGACTCTCCTCTCGTAGTTTCCTTCCTTTAGCCTGTTTGAACGGGCTAAAGTCTGCGGATGGACGGAGACAGAGCACATTTGTTGAGAGTTGAGGCTTCGTTCTGCCCAAGGAGAGCTCGGAAGTGACGAAGTCCCAAGTGCAGGGTTTCGGCAACGGGCTGAACAGGCATTGAACGGGCTGAAAATAAAAGACGCCTGGATAGATTCCGTTTTTTTACTGTGCGCTTCATAAATCTTGTGCTGACAGAGCACTGCTTGTCAACAGGACTGCCAGCCGTTCAACGCCTAGTCGAGGCCAAGATCGTAGCCGAGACACTGCACCGCAAAGTGGCCGCTTTCCCCTGGATCACTCTGGCAACTGCCTAGGTTTTCTATTTCGGTTATCGCCCACAAACTCCCCACCGAATGGAGGACTGAATACAGGAACGCTAACGGGTTCGACCGTCTCGCCGAATTCAAGTCAGTCGTTGGACTCCTTCACTTCAAACCAGTCAGTGTCCTGCTGTCTTGTGCTCAGTGAAATATGATCCTGGTTCCACTAACTCTCTTGCTGACGAAGTATGGTCGATGCACAGGAACTCCTCTCGAACCACTGCAACGCTCGTCGAACCAAGTCCGTCACGGACGTCCTGCACCTGAAACATTCACCCTCCTGTTCTCCTTGTGATTACCTGGGTTTAGATCTTGATTTCACTAACCTCTTCTTGACGTTGACCCACAGGAACTCCAGCCCGTCCAACGACTCGTCGAAGCCAAGTCCATCACGAAGTCTCTCCACCTAAGACTATCTATCTTCCTGCTCTTCCTGTGTTTACATGGTTGTCCAGTCCCCGAACCCCGTGACCGGCTTGCTAACGAAGCAAGCTTCTTCCCAGGAACTCCAACCCGTTCAACGGCTCGTCGAAGCCAAGTCCGTGGCCGAAATCCTGCACCTCAAGCTGGTCACCCTGCTGCTCCACTCCGGCAACACGCTCGAAGCCGTGACCCAGTTGCGGCGCCACCTGGCATGGTACCGCGCTCGGGAGGGACCCCCCGAAGGCGCGTTTCTGCACTGGGCCTGGGTCAGCAAGCAGTACAAAGTGTTCGGGGAACTGCTCCAGTCGCGGCTGGCGGTCGCGGGGGAGAAGCCGACGGGTGGCGTGGTCGCGGCGGTAACGGCGGCGGTAACAGCGAGCGCGGGCGGGGGGGAGCGGGAGCAGCAGCCGGCCTTCTACTTCCAGGTGGGGGGGCTGGCAGTTGCTTCATTCCCATGAACCGTTTCCGAACCGTTTCTGATTTTGCAAAGGCTCCTTAAATTAAGTTTGTACGTTGTCGAAGCGGGATCTCCAATCTTGGCATTTGTAAAGCTCCGTTTTGATTCGTGGGTTCTCAAGGGTTGGTTCTGGGTCGTGAGCATGCAGAGACAAAAGCATGCTCCAGAGTGCTGTCTGCGAATGTTTTGAAGCAACCTTTTGACCAGTGCAGCGCAGGCGATGACGATATTGGGGCAACTTGCTCCAAGCGTAAGAGAACAGGACTGCCACTGCTCTTGAGAACGAAGCCCTTCCTGCTTCGTCTTTCCATCCTGCAGAGTCCTACGCTCAGAATGATAGTATTTGCTCTCTTTGTTGGGATTATGAGGCCCTGTCCTTCGGAGCGAAGTGTTTGCGGGTTGCAACCCTGCAAACCTGCTGCATATTCACGCATCACGTTGCTTTTACTTTGTCAGCATTTAATTATCTTCGTCTGGGCTTACAAATGATGCAGCTTGTCAGATTGGTAGTCTGCGACTGAGAGAGGTCAATGAATAGCAATGATTGGAATCCGCGCTGTTGGAGACCAAATTTTACCAACGTGTTGGAGACGTCATTGGTTTGCTTGTCCACAGCCGTCGAACGGATTCTTCAAATACACCTGCACACGCGAGGTTTGTACTCCTTGATTTGGCTTTCAAGGTTCAGACTTCTCCTGCGTCCCCCCAGCTCTAATATTTTCGGTAGGAGCACTCTGGTCGCCCTCTCGGTGGCAATGTAGGTCTTGCCATTGGTAGTGTATGCCTATCAACTGGGGTGTAGCATGGGCAGATGATTGCCACCGGAAGGTAGCACCCTTTTGCTATTCCAGATTGAGCACCTGGTTCTCGGCTAAGTTTTGCCTCGGGTGGGCTAACGTCGGCTAAGTCGGCTAAGTCGGCTAAGTCGGCCACCCGAGTTTTGCCTCGGGTTGTTCATCTGTCCCCTTCTCTCTGCACTCCTTGTTGCAAGTCTCGGGCCCCTCCAGCCTTTGTGAAGTTCGCAACTCTCAAATGCCGCCTTGCCATCGGTCGTAATTCAGGCAACTAGATTACGACCGACGCGTGAGAGAATGGTAGACAAAAGGCGACCGTCACTTGCGAATCGGACTATCTCGAAGGATTATCACTAAAAAATGTTCAAAGACTATTCTTCCCTTTCCGGCTTCTTAGTGTAGAGTCTTGTACAGGCACCGGTAATGACGGACCATCTTCTTGTGGCGAGACTTGCCACAAGAGTGTGTAACACAGATTGCCGGAGTTTACGAAAGATGAGTGTGAGTCAATCTTCACCATTGATACAACGAGCTTCCTACGCATGCCATAACGGATCGTTTTTGGTGGATGCACTCAGCGGAACGCTAATCCGCAGGCCCTCGTCGGAAGCAGAAACGATGCTTGCCAACCGCCTTGCTTTTGACAATGTGGTGATCGATTATGCTGCATCTGCACACCGGGGGAAAGGGCACCGAGTGCTTCACCCGAACCTTCGTAAGGAATTGCTTTAAATTGTGCGATCAAGCTCGTCATCGGTTAGCAAGGTCCTCGGTCTTGTAGTCAAGGTTTGATCAAGATTGACGCACATGCTGCCCCAATCCGGTCTATTTTGCTGCATCTTGTCTTGTTGTGACGACTTCGAGAGTGTCGAGATCGTTTTGCGCGCAGTACAACCCCGGGCTGACATCCATCTGGATTGATTGAGTCTCTTCTTAGCATGTAGGCACTCGATTCCGTTCTTCAGTTCTTATGCACAGTCTGCCCAGCCCATGACGAGACTTCTGGCTCTGTTGCCATGTCCGTGTCCCTTTGCTGAATGGCACAACGAGTTACATGCTATACCTCGTAAGTTGCTGAAGCGTTTGGATCGACCGAGCTGAGGCCTTTCTTTCGGGGTTCTTTTACTAATCGAGGACATTCACGATCTCTAAGCAGGGAGTTAGCAAGTCTGGTCTTCTGCTTCTGCCCATGGGCAAAATTTTGTTTCACTCGAGATTTATAAGAGTCGAGCGCTTTCCATTCCTTCGCATTTGTCTTCTGGTCAGCTCCAGCAACTTCCTGTTGCTTCTCCTTTCATCCTTTGATCTGCTTTCGCCCTCATGTCAACTGTAATCCTAAGCCGCTATGCAACAACGAGAGTCGAGATACAATTGCAGGTGCTTGACGAAAACATGTGCTTCAAATCAAGTGGCAATGAGGAACACGTCCAGTGACGGAAAATACATCAGTGGATTTCTCCTGCGTCCGATCGCTCGCCTCACTATCATCCTTCAAATTTCGACTGCCAGTTGAGGCGGTGCCCGATAGAGCTTTTCTCCCTTTCGGCTTTTCCTTTGGTAATATATCGCTTCTTAAGGGATGGGGCATCCTTTAATTCAATAGGTTTGATGTAAGTCATTGAACCCTTTCTTATTTTGTGCTCAATTGAGCACGGTCTTCAAACTATTGCTGGAAGGTCCGTCTTCAGCTCGGAGTGTCGCACCCCATCGAGCTTAAAAACGAGGGGCGGCGGTCATGACAGAGGACTCGTGAATCTGAGGGCAGGCTTTGTCCTGCAAATTCGTTGCTGCTTCGTCGCCCACGTTCCCACGGTTTTGCTCTTCCGCGCCAGTGTTTCAGTCATGACCAAGATTCGCTCCAAGTCTGATGCATCAGAGTTGACAGATAGCGAAGATATCCTTGACGCTGTTGTTCTCTGTCCTTCCCAGCTTTGTTGTGCCTCTTGCGTTTCCCTTCTTCCCGGATGCCGTGCCTGTGATAAGGTTTTATTGCCTGGCTTGCTTGTCAGTGACAGGGATGATGATCGGCGCGATCATCTTGAAGCTGGGTGTCAAGCTTCCTACTTCTGGTAACGCTTAATCAGAATTCCATTTTAATTTAGACACTTTGCCTTTGCATAGGCTCCGTTGAGGCTAGCTAAGTTTGGGAACCCGGTTTTAAGATAACAGAATAAACCCAAAGCCTCCAAAGCTCCAAAGCCTCTCGAGGCCTCGGATCAACCTTCTGCTGGGCCTCTTTAGCTAAAAAAGGGGGCCTATGCTCTTCGTAGAGTAAATTCCGTCAGTTTTCCGAGCCTCCTTCGTGTTCTCCGACCCTCCTTCGAAATCAGAAAGGAGGGTAGGTTTGCTCTTTGGATACCCGAGGCCTTCTCAACATCCTTCTTGTGCTGGCGACATACTTGTTCTCTTGTGATCGCGGGTGCGGCCGCCCTTGCATCGAAGTGCAAATTGGGTGCGCAAGACTAGAGTGATTCCTGTAGGCCTCGAAAATTCTCCTTCAAGTCTTGTCCAAACCATCTGCGAACGGCAGTGAAGACATACGATTATTCTGGGTGCTGTCCCAACGGTCTCTTAAGTAGTCTTGATGCCAAGTCTGCTCGCTCTGCACTGAATCTTGTAGGTTCGGTCGAGGATGCTTGCGCAGCGTCCGTACTTCCGGTGAACGTAGCCGCACGTTAGTTGTGTTCTTGCTTTCGTCCCTTCCGTTTGACAACGTGTAGCCCCGACCGATCCTGCGAGTTCTTGACCTGTTCACGAGTAGTTGCAGCATAAATATTGAAGTCGTTCTGGTCATCAGGCTGTATCAAAAGGACGTCGGAGGAGCATCGAACCGTCAGCCCTACCCAACCGTCTGTTGACATTTTCAATCTTTTTCCTTCATTTGTGAGCTGTATTCACGTTGGGCCGGAGCCTGATCTAATGGTCGGCGCGTTGGACGCCGATCGGGGGGCATCAAGCATTTGGCCATGAAAGAAGCAAGTTTGGCTAATTTCGTCCAGTGACTGCTTCTGTATGTTGGAGCTAGTCTTGGAAAAGCCTGGTATGCTTTCATTTATGACTCCCGCAGTCCTTGCCTGTGACTCTGGTACGATGTGAAGTGGCCGTGTCAGATGTCCGCTTCTTTCGTTGGATTGTAACGAGTCGGCGTCCTGTGACCATCTCACCCCGATGGGTGGCTCAACGTTCGCATTTTAGGACGATAGGATGCGATCATTTGGGCCGGACCTCTACCCTCTTACGCAATCATGCAACTATAAGAAAAATTAGATGGTCAATCCAGCTTTAGGATGAACTGACGAGGGGCGATGATGACAGGGATTCTGGCTGGGTCGTCCTTGCCAAAGATTCACCCGGTCAATAATACAGCCAACTCCAACAGATTATCGTCCTTCGTTTACACCGCAGTCGGTCCACCTTCCAGTCAAAACAAGAATCGGGACAGGGTTGACGCGTACCCTTCTGATGAGCACTCTCGCAAGTCAGCTTTTCTGAGTCTCAAAACTTTGCCAGTCAGGACTATAGCCTCAAAACCATGCAGCTTTGTCTCGAGAAAAGCGAGCTTCTTCCGCAGCACCGGAGTCGAAGCCCAGTCGTGTCGCTTCTGGCCAGCAGGTCGTAGGATGTGAAGCCTTGTGTTTCTGCTTTGTTGTTGTATGCCCGCTAGCTCCGCCCTAACTTACTCCGCTGCTGGAGGAGCCATTTCGCCTTCGCTTATGTTTTTTGTTGATTTTTTTGGAGGAAGTCGGAAGCGAGGAGTGAAATTAGCTTTGATAAGGTCGGCGGTGGCAGTGATGTCAATTGTTCATAGTTTATTCTGCCAGAAGCAGTAGGTGGACATTGAAATGAGAGCCAACCGAAGCGGCTTCTTAGTATTATGACTTTCCCACTTCTGTACCCCTGGCATCCTATGCTCAGCGTCCGAGTCCCTTGGATTTTAAACAACCAAACGCAGCTCGATCGTTACATTGCCAGACCCCCTTCAACTCTTCGATGCCAACTATGTCTTTATAACCTTTTTCCTGTGGCAATGGCGAAAGGACCGCGTGGCTCAGACTTTCGTGCCACAATCGACATTCTCGTTATGAGAGCCAAGCTTTTGAGAGTTGCGGGCCCAATCGGAGGCACGTATAGTGTGTAAGAGAATAGAAGGGGCCAGGCAAGATATCGGGAGTCAAAAATCCCAGGAATGCAGGACTGAGAGCTCTCTTCTTGATTGCGTTGTCTACGGCGTCAAAGCGTTGGATGTGCTGCTCCTTCTTGAAGAATTCCGGAATCGAATTTGAAGGATCGTGAATCCGGTGAATCTACATTCCATCATTGTTCGAGCACCTTTGCATGCGGCCCTCATCCCGTATTGAGTGCGCTGATTGCTCGTGGTTGGCCTGCATCGTTTCCTAAAACGATAAGATGCAGTTTTCTCAGCATAAGTATGCACTCTTTTGAGGGGATTTGAATTGGTTGTTTGCCAAAGATGTAGTTGGGTCTGGCAGTGCCGCCAACCTAGTCCCTTGACGACGGATGGCACCATAGTCTGATCGTTCTTAGAACGGGTATTCGATTCAGCTATTTCCCGGTGCTGGGACCGTGCGGTACTTTGAACCGAGTCTCAATCAGGACCCAGTACTTGGGACATTTTTCCTTTAATTGTCGATTGCAACAAGTTACCGGTGTTATGTCGTGAGATCTACCAATTTGCGGTGAGATCTCCCAAATTGCTTTCACGAAGACCCGACACTCGTCCGTAACGTTGTCGTGTGCTCCTATTGCAGGTGAGATCGCCTTCGCCTGCGCATTTACCTGAATTTCGTACCGTCCACGCGGGACACAGATGGTAAAATGGTCACTTTCGGGGCTGCCTGCGAGACTCATATTGTCGACGGAAGGAAGCTCATCGGCCAGTCTGCAGCCACTGCTTTGTGAA